TACCAGCTGTGGATCATGTAGCTGACATTCATGTTGTGGACATGACACACTTATTGTTCTGTTACTGTTGCTCCTAAGAAACTGGACAGAATTCTAGAGAATATGAGTACAAGCACTGGTGTTTTAGATTCATGTCCCTCCTGGCTTGTGAAAGTTTCTCAGGAGGTGACATGTAGGCGGGTTCTAGTGGTGATTAATGCTTCTCTGTGGGAGGGGGCGGTGCCCCAGCCTTTTAAGGAGGCTGTGGTCTGCCTTCTTCTTAAGACTCCATTATATTGGGTAATTTTCATCCTGTCTCCAATCTTCCCTTTCTGGAGGTTGTTCAGAAGGTGGTTGCATAGAAGCTCCAGAGGTTCCTGGATGAAATAGATTATCTGAAACCTTTACAGTCAGGGTTCAGGTCTAGATATGGAATGGAAATGGCACTGATTATGCTTTTTGATGGTCTATGGTGGGAGCGTGATGGGGGTAGCTCGTCCATCCTTGCTAAGCTGCTGGGCAAGATCATTTGCTTCCATGGGCTGAGATATCATCAATATACTGATGACACTCAGCTCTATGACTCAACCCACGGAGAGGTAGATGACAATCCTTGGAAAGCATCCAAACTTCAGTTGGTTCAAAATGAGATGGTCTGCATGGTTTTGCACAAGCCTAGATTTGTACAAGTGTACCTCTCTTGTGGGAGCCGCTTTGGCTGCCAATTTGTTTCTGCATCCAGTTCAAGGTGCTGGTTGGCACTGTCAAAGCCCAAGTTATTTGAAAAACTGTTTTTCCCCAGTCATAACTGACCCACAAGAGTAGGGAGGCAAGGAATGCTACGGATCCCATCTCCTAAGGAGGTCCATCTAACGGGACCAAGAAAAAGGGTCTGCTCCCTCCCTTCCTCTCCATGCAGAGATAAGATTGGTTCCCACTTTGACACTGTTTTGCAACACCCTGAAGACATGGTTCTGCCAATGGGCCTGGAGACCCCAGAGTGATATGGAGCCCACCAAGAGGCCTTATTGTTGTTGCCAGGGGTGGGGTGAGGGATTATTGTGTTTGGTATTGGTATTTTATCCTTGTAAGCTGCCTGGAGTCACTGAGAGTGAGTTGGGCGGCAATATACATTTTCTTAAATAAATAAATTCTCCACCTGCACTCCAATCTGTTCAGCAGATGGCCAAAGAGAAGGGTTATCATCCTCGGCGTAGGACTGAACAAATTGGAGAATAGCAGGAAAGATGGAAACACGTCAGTACAAGAAAAAAGTTCAAGCTAAGGTGGCTACAGGCTGAGACAGGTCCCTCTTCCTGCCTTTCTAGCAAGCCTAGATGGACTCACATTGCAAGAAGCCCTCACTTAAAGAGGGAAAGGACATCCTAAATCAGAGGACAAGGAAAGCACAGAATTGGTTCATCAATTTATCATATGATGTAATTTTCATGGGGCAGCAAATCAGCCTTGTCCAACCCAGCATCCATCAAATGTTTAAGGATGACAATTCCTAGAATTCCGAGCCAGACATGGTCAAGGCTGTAATAAAAAATAAATCTGCAGGAAATCAAATCACTCAGAATGGTTCTGACAACACAGCAGAGAAAGAGCCCTGCCCCTGGGTGTTCAAATGCCTTCCCAATTTGGGAACTAGACAATAAATCTTTGATTTGCAAAGTATCCATTCTAGGAAAGGTTTTTTTTTAGATCAGGAAACAGTTCATGGATGGTTGCTCCTCTGGGACAACTTGGAGCCAGGGGCAAGCCAGGACTTATGTAAAGAATGCACAAGCATTCCAAGCATACAAAGGGGGAGTCTCTCACTTTCTTGCTCTCTTCTAAGGAATTCGCTCCAAAGAGGGTGTTGTGAAATGCTCAGGCCTAGATATCAGCTGTCTTGTAAACAGAAGTGGGAGAGAGCAGCAAAGAGGAGTGGGAAGTTTACTGCAATTTGTTGACAATCCACAGGATTGTAAAGGGAACTTTGAAAAACCCTAGCAAGAGGAAATGATTTAGGATCTTAAGACCTCAATCAGAGGGATCTGCCTGATGAAACTGCCCTATAGTCACGATCACTTGCATCAGGTTCAGCATAAATTGCTTGTTTCCACCTGTACTAACTTTTCAAGTCTTTTAAGTAGCTCAGTCCCATTCTCTTTCAATATAATGAAAATACTGACATATAAGCCCAGACCTTTTGCATACCACTGAGCTGTATGTTTATCCTTCAGTGGGATGCGAGTAGTGAGGGAGATCTAAGTTTCCATCTCATATTTGTATGTCCTCTGCATTCTTGCAGCTTTTACAACAAGATATAGATAGAATACATGAGTTTTTCAGGCGGTAAAGTCCTGCCACACATACACAGTGAATCTAAATTTGTAAAGAATTCTGCAAAGCAAAATTAATTTCTTTCTTCTTTCTTCTTCCTCTGTTCTGAAGGAGTTGCTACTTCTTACTGCTTTCTAGAGATGGATTTTTTTTTAAGATTATGGATCTTGTATCAGGTTATTATAAACTCTTCTTTGTCCAACCTTTAATAGTAGAGGTGAGGCGTCATCTGAGTTGAGCTTAACTGGTGGAAATTTCATAGACATGTTCATGGAGGATTCTTGGCCATGAGCCTGAGGTGGGATTATATGCCCTTTTTTTAGTATGATTTTTGATCTCCCAGTGTCCTAGTCTGTGGCCCTAATATTACTTG